ACTTTTTAAAAGTTAGCTGTGAAAACGGCCAGAACTTTCCTTACAACGTAATAGCACAGGGATCGAGATCATGTTTGGCTTATATAGGGGCTTGGCCGATAAACGATCTTTGTGCAGGTAACTACTCCCATCCCACTAGAAACCTTTGGTACAGAGCAGTTGGCTCCGAAGGACTGAATTTTTCGAATTTCATGAGCGCAGTCCGTTTTTAACTACATACATATGGTAAACATGGAAATGGGGAAACTCAAAGCAAAAAGCTCCCCAAACAACTCAAATGTGGGGGTGGTTGGAATGGAGTTTTGAATAGATTATTCAGACAGTGACAAGCTCGTTCGCTCAGTACCCATTCTTGCCTACTTCAAATCACGAAGAGCGTCATGATTACAATCATTTTTGCCTATTTTTCCTCAAACTTATCGAACACGACGAACATAACGCCTATCATTTCAAAGGTGAAGGCCAGCAGCATCAAATACGATATATCAGCGATAATAGAATTCACAGAAAAAAAAATCGAAAAAGATTACTGTAGCTTACCTTACAAGGCCACTATCACGATTATTTTGCTGGTCTTCTCCTCCATCTGAACTACGTAGGGAGGAGCGTGCCGAGCTGTAGCCCGTAGATGATGATACAAAAGACAATCGGGCAGGATCCTAAACATTCAGACAATTACACAACAAATATGTTGTAACAGCACATTGCCCAACAAAATGGAGTTGTAACAGCACATTGCCCAACAAAATGGAATACTTCTTCGACCGGTAATTGGTGCCCGTTGTTTAACCCTTCAATTGGATTCTGATTGAAACAGGAATGTTCCTAGGCACTTCAATCCCTCCTAGAACCAACTCCGGAGGCCAAAAATATCGGTCAGACGGCCCGAAAAAATTCGGAAACCCCTCTAAATTTCTACCGGATCTTCATAATTACTATATATAATAAAACTTTTTATCCTGAAAAATATGAGTATCACAAATTCCTCCCACCACTTGAACGATACCCTCATTCTATGCAACAATCCCTCAATATTTGAAATCGCATCCCACTTGAAAATGAATTATTACCGCTATCTTCGGTAGCCATGAGAAAGGTATAACTTTTTCAGCGTTAAAAGATCCCCTCCAAGGGAATATGCTTCTGGAGGCTGTTCATGATCGTCGCACTAGTCGTTCGTGCTCTTGGAATGATTCTGTGGACCACATACTCAAAAAAATTCAAGTTTTCGTACTCGCAAGACAAATTGGACACCCGACCACCTGGACCCGAAAGGTGAGAAGGTTCTCTTAGCTCTTGCAAATGCCAACCCAGATTTAATCCCCGGGCCATGCTCGTGCTTACCAGTTAACTAAGCCATACCAGTCTATGTTCCTTACTTTACTATTACTTATATGTTTTATTGTAGTTACTACATTTGGGCTTCAAGTACCCAAGTTGCGCACTTTAGCGCTTTCCCCACGTTGGACACTGTTTTGCTGGACGAGTTTCATTGTTTGCTTGGGCCGTTACCTTGCCAATGCATGAGCTAACTAATATAAAAAATAACTTTGTGACTACCCACCTCTTCAGAGAATCGCGTTGACGTTAAGGACGTGGGCGGCATGTCATCGGAAGGAGGACAACTGAAACAGCAGGGACTTGATGGTACGATTTTAATGTCCAATCGGGAATGTGTGGACAGCTTAGGAACAGGAAATAGCGTTCAAAGGATTGAGAATGGCCAATTCATTAAATGCCTCACACAAAGTCAGAAACCAGCTGGCGGAAGACGAGAATCAAGTGAGAATCGAAGTAAAGCGTTGAGATGAGGAGAGGAGAGGAGAGGAGGAGGAGGAGGAGGCAAACACGTTTGACTCGGAAGACATCGAGTACATGCGAGAAACGGCCACGAACGGATGGTCGGCCGGCGCCGCCCTACCGCTATTCCTAAGTGGATTTTCTGGGCCAACAACGAATTACACCCGTTAATCACATATTCTTTGTAGGCTGTAAGAGGCTTTGTTTGGGATTCTCAAGAACCTTTTTAAGGTTGAAAAGGTGATCAACTAAGTAGTAGTTGCAGGGTTGGGTACGGTTGGTTACTCTATTGAAAAACGGGAAGCCCACATGGCCAACATTGGGGTGAATGAAGAAGTAAACAAGTAAATAGTAAGCCCCGAGTCAAGAAAACATTGTTGTTATTATCAAAACCGTAACAAATGAAACAGGGAATGAGCGGGCCGAGGGCTCATTCGTAACAAAAGGTTGGATCTTTCGAGTTCGGTGGGGTGGTCAAGCAGCCTGGTGCTTCACGTCCAAACATTTTTTTGCCCTTTTCTCCTATTGAATGATGTATGTAGAGATGCCTGTAGTTTTATTTCCAAATCGTGATGCACGCAATAAACAAGTAAACAAGTAGATAAACATCTGGCTAAACATTGCAGCTGTACGACCTTCATGGGGGTTGAGCGAGGCAACATCCTGAATCCATTACGGAAGTCATTAGAAAAAATGTAAAGCAACCGGAACCCATTAAAAGATCTAAAGGAAATCGTTTCAAAGATGTACACGGATGAAAAACAGCTTTCTCCAAATGTGATAAGCCAAGTATTGGGCTCAAACCTGTTGGAACCCTCGGATACGGTACCTTCCCAAACTGGTAGACATTTTACCAAAGTCAGTTCGACTGCTATTCTACTTCAGTTTGAGAACGTCTGTTAAGTAGGCGCCATAGAGGGCATTAGATGGTAAAAACTCCAAGTACGAGTCGTTGATTAATGTCAACCGGCATTTCTCCAAAGGTTCGAATTATAAAAGAACGGCTCTTGTCGATTCTAACGTATTCTTAGCACTAACAAGAGGCCGACGAGAAAAAAACGACGAGAAGGCTGTCCGAAACTTCTCAAACCTCCTCAACTGCGCACGAACTACAGAAAGATGTAAGAAGACAAAGTGGATCGGACGCAAAGAGCTGAGTGGCCGCCGGCTGCTTTGGTGAACGTCAACGGCCACCAAAGCAGCCGACGGCCTGTTGTGGTCTTTTTTGGGATATCCGAAAGACTTTCATCATTAGCGAATATTACATGGGAAGAAAATTCGGAAATTCTTTGGTCTAGAAAACCGTAAGAAGAGAGAGGGCTGTAGATTTGTGTAGGAATGGAACTTTTCGATTCCAGGAGCAAAATTTTTGACGGTCAACAATCCTTCCGCTTCCCATACCCCATCCTGATAGTACCCAATTTCATCGGAATAAAACGTATTAAGGAAGGGTTTGTCGTTATCAAATCCCTCTTAAGATACGCCACGCTCTTGACTTGCTTTGAGTTTTGCTTCGGAGGAAAAATGCAAAGGCTTTACCGCCCAGCTTAGGTAAAATTCAATTCTTCTTCTCAGCCATACTATCTAACGGTTAGCCATTTCCTCAAGAATAAAGGACGTGATAGCTTCGCCAACTGTCCTCACCATATAACTACTGAATTCATATTGATTTTATTGATCCATTGATCAATGATATTAATAGAGTTCTGCAGGCCTGTTAGGAAGGTTAGAGAGGAATATAAGGTTTTATTGGGATCCCAGCAGTTTTCAAGAGTTCCCATGAAAACTTACAGCGATTCCACGAATCCAAAGATAAAATGGTTTCGCCAAGGACCTAGAGAAACTCCTCTCCCCACCTAGTACTTCTCGAGAAATGAGGAGCCAGCGAACTCAATTTCCTGAAGAGGAAACCAGTCACCACTTGCAGTCTATTAGATTTTATAGCCAAAATTATTGGCTAGCAAAGTTGAGAATTGTCTCAAAACTAGTTCTACATCTATATAATTGAAATAACTATAGCAATGACTGCAGCCGTTAAGCAGGTGAATTCGGGTTACTATTGATCGGTACGGTCACCTAAGAAAACAGCTGAACTTTGGAAAGCCTTGTCATGAACGGGATCCCAGGTGTTTTTAGAAATAAATCATTTTTGTTGATTTATGAAAGCCGCCATGGGCACTATGCCATCAGAATTTCATTTATGAGTGGGAATCAAGGAGAAGAAGACTGGGCAACAGAGGAAACCTATG